TAAGTTTAATGGACCAATCAAGGGTCACGAAATGGCTATTGATTCACGGACGTTCATTAAACAACAGTAGAAAAACGAACTAATAGGTTAATTGATAAAAATATTGTTTACGTACGGAGTCCTTGTGCTCCTTTTTGGAGATGATATATTTTTAACATTTTAATAGAGACGGAAAATATATGAACTCCGTTAACAGGTTGGAGGGGTCGGGAGAGTTGGGTAAATGATAAAACTTAACGTCGAACAACTACTAACTGAAAGACGGGTCCGGGATCTTGACTCCAATAAATATGTCTGCAATGTATACATTAATATAGTATATTAATACACTGCCCATAGAAAATGTCAACTATTTTGAATATGTTTGATTGTGTCGTTTTAATTGTATTAATTGTGACAACGTTTATCATAAAACAAACTGAAGTAATTAAAACTTTAAATACAATGTTGTCACAAGCGTATAATGCCATAAACGCAATAATATTATTGTATACCTTGAGTAAATAAAATATTTTTAAATGTTGCCCCACATTAAAAAATCCATGCATCATTCATAAATCACAAAAGCAAATTAGAATTCCGAATAATCATTTTATATCGTGTACTGACAAATTATAACCTACATTTCGCATGTCACCGCAGTACGGGTGAGAGTGTGATAAAAGTACATAACCACATAGACCAGTATTAAAACCAATAGATTGTCCACATGAACTTAATTACACTTAGTGCGATTTTTTTAGTAACGTCAGTAATCAAACTTATAAGTAGTACAATTACATAAACAAATTATAGTAGTATAGTGATATCTGACCATTAGAAATGATTAGGTAGCTAATTGTTTTCAGGTCCATTTCAGTAAACTAATTATTATAATAACTAATAGTAGGCCATGTTTTAAAATACGTTAAGATAATATTTGTCCGTTGAATGAGTTATGTGTGCTAAATATTTATGACATAACTGTATGGTATATTTTTCATTGTTTTGATTGGTACAGCTTATTATTTACCTTTATGATTTATATTATTCAAGTAACACTATTCACTGTTGATATACATACTATTCGAGTTGTCAGATACATAGTTTATTGTATCATATTCTAGACTCCCAGAGTCAGAGTTTTTGGCAAAAACAAAACGTACAGTGTACAAATTAAACAATGGAAAGCGTGTCCATTCAGTCCATTATGAATATTTAGATTACGTCATGAATCATGATCGAAGATGGCCGAAACAAGTATACGTTTTCATTCTCATTTTCTTTAAAAAAAAAAAACTGAGTATTAAAAAGTTAAAGGCTGTAGGTTTAGCGGTAGCAACAAATTAAAAGTTATAAAGTCACTTTCGAATGCTTCTGTGCTAATTTTATGAAAACTATAGAACTAATACAATAAAAATACCGTGTCAGGAAGTAGTTTCAAAGAAATAAAAAAATTACTTACAAAAATCGATTCTATGCAAATCGGCGGTTACTGGATAATATTATGGAACAATATAAAATCGATTTTGTTTAAAATAGGAGTATTATATTGTTTTTATACCCGCCCACACAAATCAAAGTTCTTTGAAATACTTTTTGAAATTTTTGTTTTACAAGTAGCGCATGTTAATTAAATAAATCTTTAATTTTAATGTATTACACGGCACAGGTATGAAGCATACATTTGTAAGGTATTCCAGTACGAGTCAATTTATTGTTGTAAACTAATAAATACCATATCGATAAGACTACCCATAAACGAAATTATCTGCTATTTCATAAATAAAATTTGTCGCAGTCAACTATTCATAAAAATTCAAGTGTTGTGGATACTAAAAACACGTGTACCACTTTTATAAGTATGCTCTGCCATACTCATACCATAATAAAAAACAATAATATTTGCTCCTTCATATATGCTCCTTCAAAAATTTGAATATTGATAAATATAATACTCGTATACACGAGATTATAAGAAAGCAATGTTTAGTACTTTATATTAGACAAAGTGTCCTTTTAGCAGGTTCGAATATTGGGGTTTTTATTTATAAAAAAATTTGTATTTAAGAGTTATACATTAAATTGGGTAGGTATATTTTTTACTACATTAATTATTTTACAATAATTGTTATTGACAAACGCGCCTGAAACTCGTAACATATTTAAATAGTACCACACAGATTTTGAATAAAAATGTGCCCAATCATTAAATTAAGAACCTATTAAGATGCTTGATTTGTCGTTCGACTCGTGCGAACGTGTTTTTCTAATAAACACTTATAAAAAAAACATTGACAGTAAGAATTAAAACTTTTTTTTACTAGTCTTGTATTGGCGTCATAGGAAGAAGCGTTTTGCACAGAAAATATTAATTTAATGAAACGAGATTTTCTAACACGGTAGTCGGTAGCGTTGTCCTATGATGACGCATCTATTTTCATAATCAACCATTTAGAACCGCACGAATAACAATCTCAATTCCCTTCGGACGTCCTATTAAAACCAGAGGAACGTATCAACCAAAAAATGAATTTCTTTTTAACGCATATTAACCAATTATTTTTGTAGAATTTAGTGTTGGGACGACGAAAATCCTATAACACTGAACGAATTCTCTTTGGATCCGCACTTGGTTGAGGCCCATAGACCATAGGGAACATTTGAAAAATAAAATTGGGAGGGCCGAGTAAATTGAAATTTTTAAATTAGTACTGATTTGGCTATGTAATTAATAGTTGTACAAAAATGTAATTATACTTATACTTAATTATTCTATAAAAAAAGTTACGTGTAAAAAAAGTTGTTAAAAAATTACAATTAGTGAGTACAACTTCATATTTTTAAATATTTGAAATCGCATACCAATCGGTTGTATAACACTTAGGTACGCTGTCTACGTGTGTCGTGCAACTACAAACACTTTTGTAAAACTCTTAAATGCTTATATTTAAGTGTAATAAATTACAAACTGAACAAACAACGGTAGGTATTGATAAATGGGTACTGCATTTATTTAAGAAATATGTAAGCAATACATATTATAAAAAGTAGATTTGCTTGGTTAAAATTTCTAATTTATTTTTGTATGTATAATTGTGTTTATATATTCTATTTAAATTATTAATTTGATTTCAGATTTGTATTTAAAATAGTGTTTGTTTTATGTAAATGTCATGAATAACACTCAGTTTCTTGCAGTGAATACAACAAACTTAATGCACTTCTGAGTGTTTCAGGATGGAGTCGAATCAACTATCTAAAACTTATAAAAAAAAATTGTTTTATAGTATTTGGTAACGAATAATGATGATTAATGATAATAGAGAGGTATATTCATCGAATAACCCAATCGCTATTTGAGTGTCAAAAACAAGTATAAAACCGATCAGAAATAATTTATTTAAATATTTCAACAAGTGAAATACACGGAAATATCTGTTTAGGTTTCAATTTTTCCGTTCATTGGAGTACATCCTATAAGCTGACTCGTCAAATGTTATGTGAGATGGAAACATTTTTGCTTTATACTGCGAATATTAAAACTACGTTTCGAATAATAATAGTAGTGTTGTGTTTATGAAATCCCATAAGATATATAGTTCAATAGACGTTTAGATGATACAGGTTTCAGATATCTAAACTATCAATAATAATTTTATACATGTTTGTAACCAGTTTTTTTTATTTTTAAATAGTTATTTTACATTATCCATTAGTTATCACATACCACCACATATTAATGTTGGGTTCTGATAATAATTAGGTACAAAGCCATGGGAAGCAATCGCTCTTACGTACAATATAACCTCACCTCTGTTTTTATTATAGTCATTATGATTTTAATCCTTGCTTTGTTTGTTGAATATTTGTGGCTAATTGGGTGTTGAATTTTTAATACTTCTATGACTACCGTTGCATCGTTCTTAATACTTTAGTAACTACCTAATTTAATTTTGCCATTTTTAAAGATATAAAAGCAATTAGCAGGCTAAATTAATTAATAACTATTTATAATTTTCTCATTAATTATGAACGTTATTAAAACTTATGCTGTTTTATCATGAACTTTTAAAGTATTTGGACATTTTAAACATACAATTATACAGGCATAGTATATTTTTATTCTGGGCATTATTTTTATACTTAAACTACTTTTATAAATTTCATAATTTAGCATACCAGAGAACCGTATGTACCTATCATAGTCGTATCCGCTATATATGTATATATGAGCCCATGGGACCTATAAACGACTCATTGTATTACGTCGAGTCTGATATTCTTAAGGCTGATCAAGTTGGCCAAATTTATAAACTAGTTATAGTTAGATTACTAAGTATTAATAAAAGTTACTTTCACATTTCATTCACTATCTTTATTTATTTATATAAATTATAATATATAAACAGTAAGCAAAATTATAAACCAAGATAATGAAAAATTAAAAAAGTTACTAAACAAATTATAATTTATTTTTTATGAGACCGAGACACAGCTCGAATCTATTGTATAACGTTTAACGTTATCACGTAGGCAATAGGCACGATTGATACATAAGACTACAGAAAGGACCATTATGATTGTAATTCGATGAACGAGTGCTGACAGCATGTTTAATGGGCCACAAACAAGGGCGCCTGCGTGGCACCCGTCGTCAACGGATTTCCTGCTACCTATTGAGTTTGTATTTTGTATACCAAGTACACATACGAATTATAATACACCGTACCTATATAAAAATAAAACATATACGTCAGGCGCTAGTGCGTGTATGACATTAAACATATTATTATTATGTACCACCTACCCAATAAAATATTATTATTTTATACGGGAAAAATAAACATGCCGGATGACGCATACGCGGATACACAACAGCACGTTTCGGCCGTGTGGCCCACGGCGTTCGATTATGCACAACGAGGTTTTCGGCCTTACCGAATCGCGTTGGTAACACTGTAACGTAAGCGGTCGGTCGGGGGCGTGCATTATCACATAGCGACGACAAAAAAGGAATAATATCGCAGTAACGCAGTTTCCTATTCTTGTGTGTTGCGCTTTGTTGTGTCCGTCGTCTCATCCGGAACGGCTTGTAGCGTGCACAAATCAAAACAAATAAAACAAAACCGAAAGAGAGAGGCGATCTACCATTTTTTTTTATTACTACCCGTTTTCCCCGTGACTGTGTGCAACTCACGTGCCTGTTCGACGTTTGCTCCTGTTCACTGTTCATTGCTGTATCTGGGATTATGTTATAATAATAACGAAGCTGCAGCTGACGGTTAAAAAACACTTCTTGATCATAACCGATTGCCTGGTTCTTTGTCATAGTGTTGTACGAGTAAGTACACAAAATAACGTGGGGTATCGTAGTCTAAGTACACCGTCTTGAAATTGTTTGACGTTACACTTGTAAAAACCTTAAGTCCACAATTACAACAACGTTACGTAGTTACTGCCAATGTTGATTTTTATATCACAAGACAGATATTATGCCAAAATTAAACACTAAAGTGTCTGTGGTTAGGCTTTTCAGTATCAAACCCTGTGCAATTTATCAATTAATCTTACTCCATGGCACCAGGTGTATATTATACCTGTATTATACAAATAGGTTGCAGAGGCGTGAGCCTGAAAGTAGAGGAGACGATTACAAAATGGTTGTACTTAACATTGGTTACCTTTTTAAAATAAAATAAAATCATATTATTCCTCTGCTTTCTAAAGCTGGCTTCCCAGTCATCTCTGTGCAGGTGGCCAGCCTGCACCCACACACACTCTGATACACCTGTGCAGTCCTCCGGTCTGCCGGATGGACAAACGTGTTTTCATATTTACTCTGACCGCTTGTGTAGGCATAACTCCCATAAATAACAGGCTGACTGGAACTTGTGTAGCCGGCTTAAGATGATAGACATTTGAATGCGTTAAAACTTTCGTGGATTGATATATCAATTGAGTAATTTTCGGATATATCCACGTCGGCATAAAACATGTGACGTGGATATATCCGAAAGTTACTCAATTGATGATAGACATTGTCTAATTATTTTCTGTGGCGCTCACCATTTTTAAATTGACACTATGGCATTCGCTCAAAAATATCATTAAACAAAAATGGCGCAACAGAACATATCGGGCCCTTTCATCTACTTGGTACCACTATTGTTATATCCATTTATTTCCAACTGATACAACTTTCAATGTTGCTACATACTTCTATAATTTTACAAAATTTAAATTGGCTAAAGTTTTTTAACCCTTTCGTTCCTGGGAATTTTTTTTTTCCAAAAAATAACAATTTTTTTACGTATTGGACTGATATTGATTATCAATATAGCTGTGTCGATTTTTTTATCATCAATCTATACTAGAACTTGTGTTTAAAGACATGTTTTGATATGGATATGTTTGTTTATTTTATAAGATTTTTTAAAAATTTTAAAGTTAAATCCTCGTACAAGGATGTCAGTAATGAAAGGGTTAAATTGATTCATCCGTGTTAACATGGCGCAAAACAGCCAATATTTTAATACATTAGATAAATTCAAAGTAGCGTATGGGCAAAATATATTTTTTTGCTCAAATTGACGGATAAGACAGAAGTTTCCTGTAAGCTAATCAGTTTCAAGGTTAAATATATACTTAAATTTAATAATTTATATTATATACTTTATTTTTCTATAGTAATTATGACTTAAGATGATACTATAAGATCGCAGTGATAAATTTGTTTTGGTTTTATAATAGTTTTATCTATTATCCTTGAGTGATTAGATTTCTTTATCTTTTGTTTGACCAGTTGTTTTAATTTGTTTTACTAATCTATTTCCATGAAAAGTGCATTTTATTTTGGCATATTTGAATGATTATAATTTATACTATTGTCGTTTTGCTGTTTAGGAAGAAAAATACGCTCTTACTTTTTTTAATACCTATGTAATCGTCATTGATTAATTGTTTTATTGGTATTTTTTGTTACAACACAGTTATATAATAGTTTAAAATTTTTATTTTCTCTAGGTTTCTCTTGATAGACGTAAATAATCAACATGCCGGCTTCCGGTCCTGTTTACCAACCAACGACTGTCAGCTACGAACAACAAACTGAATGGTCACAACCACCAAATGGCTTTTTCAATCGCGCTATGAATCATATTCGTAACCCAAAATGGTTTCATTGGTCGTTCATTTTAATAAGCTGGATTCTGATTGCTGTTGGAGTGTTTTTATTCTTGGCAGTCACCACTAATTTCATACGATCTGAGGATGTAAAAGACAACTACACTGAAGAAATAGCGTTCCTAGTTATTGGATCATTTTGCTTTGTCTTTGGTATTGTCTTATTAATCGGTTACTTCCGTTACATTAAAGACAAAGAAAACTGTCCGTGCTTCAACAGCAAAGCTCGGCAAATGGAATCGCAAGCTTCCAATGGACAGGTAATATATTATAATTAAATGTAATTTGAAATTTTTACGGTATGCATTATTATAATAATGTTTACTCGGTTACAGGTTTTGACGTTAAATCCTTCCACGGATCTTCTAATGGCGTCTGCTCAGTATGGACCAACATCAGAAGCTCCGCCAACTATTGTAGAAGAAGACGAAACAAGAAAGTTAATGGGAAATGACAATAAAGATTGGTAAGTGCCAAGTGTGTTTTGAACATAGTTTGAAATGACGACGTTTATGGGTAAACTTAAGATATATCTACTTCATATCTAATAATCAATCAGGTTATTAATCAGTATATTAAAATATTTTTTTTATTTTTTTTATTTTATTAATACTTGCGAACAATTTATCTAATTTTTTTTTTTGTTATATATTAACTAGCATGACTATTATAATTTAAATTTTGTTAAAGGCTATGTATTCTTTTTTTAAATTTATCATTATTAATTTTATATATATATTATAATAAGAACAATGTTAAGACTTAAGAAACATTATTATGCTTTTCATAATAATATTTTGATGTTTTGTTTTACATTTGTGATATGTTATTGCTTTGTGTTAGTACATTTAGTTTTTTAAATTTTTTTTTATTGAATATGGTAGATATTTGGTGCTATTCATGAAATAAAAATTATTTTATTTTTTTATTATTTTTTACTTGTTTATTAAACTATTTAACCCCTATTGCATTTTGTTGGTGACGTGGTTGTGGTGTTGGATGTTTCGATTTTATTACTATTAATGTTTTTTTGTATAAATGTTTTATTATATTCTACTATTATATGTGTATAGTAATGACGAAAGGGAGCATATGTTAAGCACGAGTAATCCGCCTGTGGCGGCACTCCGCACACATGCGCCAGGCGGTGCTTCACCACTCTCTGGTGAAGATGCTTGACTTGAGGCCAATTTCGCCGACTCTCTGTCGGGTATCAATGATTATTATCACAAGTGAGATCAATATCAATTATATAAATACATGTCATACAACATCAATTGAGGTAAAATGTAAAATTAATTTGTGTTCTGTAGATACGACATTCCTTTACTTCGCAACCAACGCTATTCGCCTGAAACGCCCATCCATGTAGCACGTCCGGGTTGGACTGCACCCCTAGCGCTACATGATGATTTGACACCGTCCATATGTTCTTCAGTTTGTAGCCTAGACAAGGCGAAAAACTGACCCTATAATACATTCCATGAAGTCGATGACTTTTTTTTTTTAAAAAACAACATATTTATAAATATACTTAAACACGCACATTTTGTTTAACGATTGCTGACAACTGTGTGCACAATGACTTTTTTACATTTATTTTACGGTCAATGGTATTATTATTTTTTAATTGTATTTGTAAAAATTGTCTTTTCTATTTTTTCAGTACTTAACTTAAATTGTGTATATAACCGATGAAATTGTAAAGTTTCTATTTTAAGTCTTTAAGCAAACCTTTTTATTATTGTTAAATATTTGCATATTTTTGAATGTGAAGTTAATTAAAAATTAATTGTATCTTACAAGTTTTACTTCATCACATATTTATTGTATACGAATGATTGACATCTAGTTATAGTAAGGACAAAGTTATATTATTTAAAAAAAAAAACAATATTGTAAAGTATCATTGTATTGTAACTACGGATGTGATTAACCTTATTAATGTACTTTTGTATACTTACCATTTTATTATATTTGAATACAATTATTAAATAACAATTTTGTTTGACTTGTAATTTTGCTATGTTAAAATATAATATTAGTTCTAAAATCATTATGTGCATTATCAAGTGATTAACCTAACATAATTTTTAAAGTAATTAATCTGGCTGTCTAGCCGAGTGAATATTCAATAAAGGTTTTTATAACTTTGATGCGTAGGTATTATTATAGGTTCAAAAATTAATGTATTGCATATTAAATAAGATAATGTATGTGTACATGACAACTAATTATGTTGTGTAGACAATGTGCATTGAGTAGATTATTAACCATAAGTCCAAGAAGTATAGATGCATTGCATTTGTTCAAAAAAGCTAATAACTTGTAATTTATCATATCGTACACATCAAATTTATATTGAGATATCTTGTAAATTAAATTATGTTTTTGTATTTTAATAGAAAAGTAACATATTAGCTTTTTAGGTGTTACATATAGGCAAAATTAACTGAACTCTATATTGAGTTGAATGGCAAAATTCATGATAAAAAAGGGGTATTTTAAGACTTAAGTTCAATCTACAGTGTATATTTGTTATATATCAATGTAGATTTTTTATTTATCACAAGTTATCTGTTCATTATTTATTAGGTTGTAATTACACGTCTTGTGAAGATTATTATCATTTTCAAGGACGCATCACAATATTATCACATGACCATTATAGTTTTAAATTTTTTTAATTAAAAATTTTGATTAATAGCTCATAGAAAAATTAAATATTATTTCTGATCCTTGAGAAAGTTTTATCCTTTTCTCATTTTCTTTATACGGCCTCTTAAAATCTACTCAGTCAATAAAGTCATACGCAATGAATAAAAGTGTATCTAGAAACTCATATAATATTAATTTAATTGGAGTAGTTGACATGTACCTTATATAATATTAATATACTAATGGTATAGAAAGATTCACACTATGAGCCAGTGAATATTTTAAAAGATATGAGACATTGTTTTAACTATTTTTTTTCGTACTTTCACAGTTATTATTGCCTATTATTTATTAGTCTAATTTTATATATGTTCGACTATACAATCCCACTTCTATGTGTTAAAACCCTATGAAGTTAACATTTTTTAATTGTAACGTACATACTATTTTTTTCATTTTAAATTAAGAATAATTTGCTGAACATTTTGACCGGTCGATAACCAATTTTGGATAATTACTTTTAAAGTTATTACAATATAAATTAAGGAAAGGTGGAGTGTAGTAATATTTGCACGCATTACTCCACTCGCGTCTTAAATTTTAAACTAAAAATATCTTTAAAAGGAATTACCTAAAACCGGTTATCGACCAGTCAACATTTTCAGCGAATTATTCTTAGTTTAATCATCCTGTATAACTAGTCGGGTAATTGGTATCTTGTACCACTTTTACTGAATGGATAGAAACACTATTACACCTATCAGATGTAAATTACAGTTTTCTCATTGGACCCTTTTTCGCGTGTCGTCTTGTGCCTACGCCCTACTCCCAATTGAAGTACGCTAATAAGTGTAAGGTTTATCGAATATAACATTATTCGTTATCGCCATGACGTTTGGTTTGTCAAAATAGTATATTCAACAGTTGAAACGTGTAACGTTTACGAAACAAATTAGTTACAAAAAAAAAAACAAGTTTATAAATATTTATATGTACAATCGTTATAGCGTGGAAAATAATTTGTTTTGTACAGCAGATGGGTCGATATTTAACGATGGCCCATTTTCGTGTTGATAGCATGGCCTGCGAAACGGAAGCCTTTTAAGGGTGGGGTGCACGGTTGTTGTGGAACACCCTGTTGTCTTCTCGTCTCCACCACGGCACGCCGTCGATTCTGCAAAGGGAAACGTACATAATATTAGTGTTGAGCGATAAATGTAGACAAAAACGCTCGGTTTGTCAAGCAGTAGGTACATAACCATTTATGCCTATCGATTCGTGGACAGCCGCTTTACTCACTCCTCGCTCTAAATGCTCAATCAATTCGATCATAACGCAATATCAATTCCATCGTAGTATGTACTAAGTATCATACCACATGTAAGTAACTAGAGTGGTAAAATTCGATGAAAATCCTTACTTTCTCTCTTACTAGATGATGTATTATGTTGTCTTTATCTACTATCCGTCCACGAGTCAACGGGTCAACGGGTAGACCGTGTCTTGAGCTTTTTTTACTGACTAAGAGTACTCAGCACTAGACTCCAATACATATTGCATATTATAATGCAGTGTTGGAATGTTCAATTTGGAACTCACTGTTGTTGCACGCTGGCCGAGTCGTATTGGTTGGTGTAGGCGGACTCGTTGTCCCTTTGGCCGACATACTGATAAACGTGTCCTTGGTATTGCCTCCTCAACGTGTCGGTGCCACCGTCGACGATCATCATGTTCTGAAGGGGTATCGTTTCGGACGGAGTGGTCGCCGGCTGAGACGAGTTCACCAAAACAGCACTGGCGCCCATAGTCCTATGACGACCGTTGAGCTGCCGGTGCCGTTTCCGTCGGTCGGCGTCTTGCCTCACCCTACACTGGACGGCCAACAGGAACGCGCTCACGGGTAACACGAGACAGCCAATGTATAGGAACCGCGGATCTCTGGTCGACACTATGGCCGACATGATCAACATAAAACCGACGGTAATGCCCGAAAAATAAAATATCTGCAAAAAAAAAATAAATAAAAGCCAAAAATTAATTTTGCGCGGTACACACTACGGTAGAATAATTTAAACAGAGATAGTGTAATATAATCATCGGACATCGAGCTGTAGAAAAACAAAACTACTAGTCGACCGAGTACCGACTCCCATTTTTTTTTAGATCCTCGCGAGTTGTGGTTTGATCGTTCGGTCAACCGACCTGAGTTCCGAGACGTATACACTGGACCTCATACAGAGATTTCGAAGATGTGAGATGTAAGATATGTAGAGCCAATCGACGTGGGCGATACCACGATGCACGTGTCGGGAGTTTAGTGGTAGAAGGTTATTACGTTAAACAACAACTTCATTAAAAGTATTCCTCGAGACTTGTTATTTATAATTTAGAACATACGTGTAAACTGTAAAGTGAGCACGACAGAACCAGCAAATTGTAGTAAATGAATATTTTATAATGACGATTCGGTTTCTATTGCTTACTTACGCAATAGCCAACAATATATATTTTGGTAAGTCATCAAATCTCCTGTCAGCACTTTAAATTGCCGACACAAAATGCCTACATACCTACCTACTAGATAATTCTAATTTGACTTACCAATAGACAAAAATGACAGAAATTCTCGAACCTCGGACACCGACCACCGCAAGCGTCAACGGCAACGTCGCAAGCGGGCATGATGGCCGTAGGCTGATGCCTTAGGACCATGGCGGGCGCGACTGACGGCTGATGCCGGACGGCGGCGGGACAGGTGGCGGTCAACGAAGCTGAGTTCTGAGGCGGCAACGGAGGTACGAACTGAGGAGGCAAAGCAGCGGACTGCGGAGGCGGCGGCGGTGACGGTACGATGGGCGCCGTGGGCTGTTGCAGAATAAAGTGATTGGGCGGCGGCGGTTCGGACCAACCGGCCATAGGATGTTGACTGAACTTGTTACCGGCCGTGGTCACCGACGACAGAGCGTCCGGGTCGGACGTGCTGGCGCCCCCTTTGTGACTGCGGGTCTTGGCGATTTGCCGTTGGCTGCCGTACACCCTGTGCTTGGACCGGCGGTACTGCTGTTGCTGGCGGTGGTGATTGCCAGGGAAACCCTTTTCGTTGGAACTATTCGTCGACGACCCCGGCGAGTGTCTATCCACGCTCCAAGCGTTCCTAAAATTTACAGCGACAAATTATATTAACATATATATATATATATTTAATACTATAATAACCGTCAACGCCATAACAATAACGCTGATAAAATAATTCCGTTTCGAGTATAATAATAACGTATTAAAGTGCAAAACGGACTTAGAAAAATGCCATTACACGCAACATCTTGGCATACTCGCAACTGCAAATGCCGTTTAAATGCGCATTGAGGCATTAACTTCTTGGCGGTTTAACTTCCTACATAATATAGCACATAACGTGATTCAAAGCTTGTCTGAATACTAAAATATGCGACATGCGTCCTTAGAATTTACTATAAAATTCAGCGCCATCCCAGTTTGTACTATGTGACATTCCTTTCGGGGTATTGTATTTGATGTCATGAATGATGACAAAAATGCGATGTCTTAAAGGGAAATAATAGGTCTGGGAAATTTTTTTCATACACCCGTTACATTATCAATTATCATGTATCTGTCATACTTCGGGTTGGACGTTCTGTCCAAAATATGCTTCGAGTAATTTAATATTTTCATTTGTTGGACATAGGTAGTTGTATGCAAATTTCAGAATGTGAACTTGCGTTAACGATAATATTCTAAACACATCGCGTGTTATGGTGTTGTCGGTGCGAACGCGTATGATTAGTATAAAATATTTGCTCACATCGATTTCGTGAAAATCTCAAGTCTGTGCGAGCGATCCGGGCGGTGTTATATTGACGGTCATTAATCGTATATGCCGACAACAACCGGAATTAACACGATTAATTAGTACTAACGCACCGAGCAGTCACGTCGATAAAAAATTGTATTTTAAACACACCGTGGGATTTATATTTTTACCGTGTGCAACGCGCGTCCGGGTCAATGTATATTTGTACACGGCTGCAATAACAAACAAGACAAGACAAATTTGCTCAGGGCGCCGCCGGTCACTTAACGGTATTTGATTGCCAAAAGAAACAAATATAATAAGTATTAATTTTTCTAAAACGGTATCAAACATATTATATTATACTCGAGTCGGTGCGAGGTGTCATCGCATAAAAATTTGTCTGGGTAATAACAGAGTCCAAAATATAGTAGACTAATCATTAAACTTATCAATTTTACTGTTCAACCCCCGGCATTGAGTCTTAAGATTTGATTAAAGAGGCTGACCTGGGCAAGGAGTGGTGGTGGTGATTCTGCATACGCGGCATGGTACCGTGAACGTTGGGTAGTTGCATGCCCGAGTACTGCTGGTGATGAGCGTTGTGCTGCTGCAGGTGGTACGATTGCTGCTGCTGTTGGTGTTGTTGTTGTTGCTGCTGCTGCTGCTGCTGCTGCTGTTGCTGCAGCTGATGATGTTGCGATTGCAACGTACGTCCATTGTAAGTGTTGTTGCCGTGCGGCGGCGGTAACTTGGGGTAAGCGCCCGGTTCCGGACCGTATTGTTTAGCGCGACCATGCCTTGATGACATGGCGCATCAACATGTCGGCAGACTCAGTTCGCTCAGCACGCTTCCAATCCAATGTCACATAGTACCTGCGGATAAGAATAATTTATGTTTAGTGTACCTACATGACTACTTTGGGCTTGTTAGGTTAATCTTAAGACAAACAGATAGTATACATTGTAACACAAAATACAAGTGGCTAAAAGCTAAACAGTACATTCGAAGATTTCAGAGTTAAACCAGAGAATAAAGTGGACTACCGACTAAAAACGCGACTAATGTGTACATGGAGTGGGCGAAGAAATAAATATGGACAGAGAAAGCGTGGAAAAACATTAGGTCGGCGTTCACCAACCTTGGTCGGCCGCAATAAACAAAGGCGATTGATTATACAAGTGTACATTGAGTTTGTAAAGCAAACTGTAGCAGACTACTATTTAAATACAAATTGTAAACAGTGGTTAAACAGTTTGACCTTCTAATTTACACGGTTTGACGCACACCGGTACCACAGTTTTAAATAAATTCAATGCCCCTAACATTATTATTAAGCGACCAAATTATGATTGCCGTTGATCGACCACGCGAACGGTTAACGTATCGCATGCCAAAAGAAAAAACCCAAAAATAAATCTTTGCTCTTTACTCTGGCCCTGCCGTCGCCCGAAATAGTAACGATGCAGCTTATCTGCTATCGGTAAAGCGGTCACTTAAAATATAACTTTATATCAAAATACAGTCTCGTCTAAAACGACTTTGTATTACCGACTAACCGTTGCATTCAACATTATATAATATGGATATATACACACATTACTGAAGCGTCGAAATACCTACCTAGTTAAAATTATTATCAGATCGTTTGGGAGGTCGCTGTCGTTGAGGTTTTTTTTTTCTTGTTAAAACCACAACCCCTTTTTCTTAAAAACAACATTTCCTACTCAGACCTCTAATCGAGCGTCGACCGAAAAGCAAACATATTAAATTATATAGTTTTAGGGTCACGCCCCCAATTGGAGTGTAAAATAAACAACTATTTTCCAGGGTGTGATTTCGCTATTAACAGTGGCCGTGATTACATATTATATGACCCCGTTAATATTGCTCTTAATAACCACCCAGAATTGGGTTGTATCAGAATGAACGCGCTTTGCCTTTGTTTTTTTAACTCTATTACTTTCGACATGTTCGTACGAAAATAATATACCTAAGCTACATAATAGGTAATAACCTACATCGTTGCGGCGCCGGAAAGGTCTAGGGTGATGATATTTTATTAATTTCGATTTGTCACGGTTCACGGGCTACGTACAATATTACATACACTATATCGGATTCCGAAATAGGCGCGGCTCCTCCGTCGTTTGTTGGGGGTGTTTTTGTGCACAAAACACATGACTCTAGAGCCAATTCCGTTTGGTATATACTATGCACTACCGGTTGCGCACGTCTAAACCACATATGCGTGCCAAAATAATAACGATATGCGCTTCTACAAGTATAACCGTGAATTATTGCACGAGTTCGAGTACCGAGATTTCGTATGTCTCATGCCGGAGTCGATAAAAGGACACGAGACGGACGATAAACAACAATACCACGTGGCTACTCATACGTTTAGTAGTGTAATCATCTAAACCGCGCAGGTAATTTTGAAAAACAAACCAGCTACAGCGGCGTGCAATACATACAATAGAAACTATTTGGTCAACTGTGTTCCACATAATATTGTGTGACGCACACAAGCCGTGTCCGACCAGGAAAACTATGCGCTCTTGTCGTCTTTAACGTTTATAATTATTGATCGCGATCACTGTTGCTGTTATTTTGGGTGCACGACGATCATGTGTAGGCGCTCGTGACTTCTTATTTAAATCGAAACAGATCATTCATCGCGGCGACCGAGGCGGCCACGGTGGAAAGCGCTTAAACAAAAAAGTTTTCAGTGTAAAAAAAAAAAAATAATCACGAGCCCACGTCTTGCCCGGCTCTAATTTAAGAGCACAATAATAACGCGCTGGCACCTACATTATTATTATCGTTATTGTTATATATAGTACATAGTACACGTTTGGCGGCGGCGGCGGACGATTAAACGGTCCATTAAATATATTTTTTTTAAAACGCAGAGATCGTTATCCCGCCGTTAACGTTGTGTATTAGTTATTACACTAAGAACAGATCACCAGAACCACGGTTTTGGTATTTTCCTCGCGCCTCTCCACTTACCGGGTATACATTTTGGATTCATTCCGAGTGTACTTAGTAGCGAAAACAATTACTTACACCTACAACACCGCAGCCAATACATGCATGGCTGGCCGAAGATCAAGTCTGAGGCAGCTGTTGTGTGTGTGGCTCTCGCGTTGTGTGAACGCCGCCTGACGCGTTGTTCGGCGAGCCCGCCGGAACACACGGAACCAAAAAAACCGGTTAGGTCCGCTGGCAAACCTATAATTTATCAATCCTCACATGTTTCCCTTAACTAGACGACTACGGCCGGGGTTATAAAATACGGGAACAACTACTCGCGGTGACTTCGACCCGGACCGGCTAACGAGCGCCCAATGCAAACAATCTTTATCTCTGCTCTCTCTGTCTCTGTCTCTCTCTCTTTAGCTCTTCCTTTACTCGCACACACTTCAATGTATGTTATGTTGATTCCACGCACGAATAATAATAATAATAATAATAATAATGGTAATATTTAAATCGATTGTAATAAAAACGACCAAGACGTTGTTTTCTCTCGGCCCTCAGACGTTTCATCGGTGCCGCCTCGTTGCCCCTCCTTCTCCTTGTCACCACCGCCGCTCGCGACCAAAACTTGCCCCCCCTCCCCAAATCCCATATCTCCTAGTCTAATCATCTACTCGCCGTGTGTTTCTTTAAGGCAAAGCCGCCGCCACCGCCGCCGCCTCAGCCCCATCACCGGCAGCACGCTTGTTCGCCCATAGGCTGTATACGCATTATGTAATATCTAAGACATAAAACCATATCTACGATACGGACATGTCCAGAGGAAGAGCGTTACGGGGTTCTGGAATTTCACGTGTATGCCACCGGATGTGATCGAGAGGCGGCCGCGATTTGAACTCGACCGACGATGTACTACAACAAGGGCGAATGAGAAAGAGATAGACAGGTTAGGTATTGGCTACCCTGTTTATCCTGGACAACAGTTTTTTAAACATTCAATAATATATTACATAGTTGTGTGTACCAAACATTCTCACGTTTGGTGAATTAGGGAAAATTATAATAAAAAAAAAAACATGGTAGAAAATTGGACAGGTGGTTGAGAACGAAATGGTGTCCGTTTGAGTTTCGACCCTCCTATTGAAAAAACTGAAAGCAAAAACGGATTGCTGCAATAAAAAAGAAGCAATAACCGATTAAAAAAGGGAAAATTGTTTTTTTTTCTTTACTAGTCTTGTTAACAATACAAATTGATTTCATACTGAACACCTGTTTTATGAAGCTCGCGATAACCGGGCTTAAGTGTTCACTGGTTTAGTATTTAAATTGAAGTGGCTACGCGCAAAAAAACATGGGTATAATATTTAATACAATGAATAATACATTTTTAATTGAATATGATTTGATTTTTTTCTTCAAAACGCCAAAGAAAAAAAATCTAAATCTAAATTATTAACGACATTACAGTATGTTATTTTTCTATATATCAAAGGTTAGCCCTCCACGAAGTAGAATCCTGGCTGCGCCACCAATAACAATATGATCACAATAAAATCTGAACAAGAAAAAGATCACCGCTATACATATATCACAAAATATTATACAATACACATTTTATTTTGTGTCTAAAACAAAAGCAGTTTTTGTAGATAAAAAAACGCCGGCTACCTACTAGTGCAGATTTTTCGGTGCAAAGATTTCATCTATAATTGGCTATTGTAGAATAATAGAAACCCAAAATAACGTACACGGGTAAGTCCTTAATAAGACGGCGTTTCGGGAGCGGCCGGAGGAAAAACAAAAATGAAGAAAAAAAACATTTCTATTGCACCACACAACTCTGTAATGATCAATGTGTTCACGGATGTCTCTGCAGACAATATTCGGAACGAATCCGATCACAATACGTTTAAGTAACAATAATAGTTGACTATAGGAAAACACGTACGGATACATATATGATTTTTTATTTTTTTGGATTCCTTAGAATTTAGAAACGCGAAACCCGTGAAGCATAAAAAATAGTCAAGAGTCATAGTTTTACAAAAACATAATAAATGTGCGCTTATCGCATCGCATTACCTCTCACGCGCCTTAGCCATCAAATCGGATTTTTTAAAAAATACAAGTACAAAGAAAAGGCAAGAGTACACATCATAATGTGTAGATTTGAACGCGGCGGCTAGGAGGAGTTCTATCAAATATAATAATATTGCAGTACGTTGGTACAAAATATATAATGTGACGAAAAAGATTCTCCTACTGCGAAGGAGGAACACATATAAACAGTCTTAAATAATAAGAACGCTTAAAAAATGATTCGTCCGAATTAAAAAAAAAAAAAATGCTTGACGTTAGAGCGTGTCAAATTTGAAAAAAACCTTTTTAATCAGTTTTAGGATTTGATCTCGTTGTTCGCTTTTTTTGTTTTACTAAAGACGTTTTCCTGTTCGTCTGACTGGTTTTTTGACAATCTTAATATCCGCACTAATGTTATCACGTTTCGTCACTATTCATTATATTTGACCGTAAAGACAAGAGAGCAGAGTTTTCAGCCATAGTTGGCTGCGTCGTGTCACAGGCCGTTTCAAATTAACCGCGAGCCGGTCGACCGAACGGTTAACTTGTATAGCTAATTGTTCTTGTTATTATTGTCCAGACGAGAACCGCCGGTCAGGCAATTAACGACGAATTAAGACCGACAAATGAGTTTTGGTCACGCCCACCATAACAAGCGTGTTCTAATTTGTTGAGAAAAACGTGCGACGGACACAAATTTGATCGTTTCCCTTGGGTTTAAGTACCTATACGCTACACAAAAACACATTCCGTCATCCACTGGATAAACACAGTGCGCACTTGCCGCAAGTCCTCAAGCGATTCGGACGTTGACATACCACGACGATAAAGAACGGTTTTAAAAAACTGACTTTTGGATAAAGAGGGCGTTCTAAGACGACTATGACACTGCGGTCTGCAACATACTTTATATTATTTTCATCTCTTTCAAGTCTGTCTCTAATTACCACGAACGTTTTCGTCCGAAACGAGTCCGACATACCGTCGATTCTACAACAACAATACTAGTAATTAACATTTAAATAGTCAATCACTCCAGCGGTTTCCCGTTAAACCGACGATTCCTCGTCTATCTGTGTATTAAACACTACTGAGTATACATAGTTTTTTTTTTTTTTTATAATATTGAAATTCCTAGGAAACCCAATCGGGACGACATTGATAAACGTTTAGTCGCAGTACTCGTCGCACGATAACACAATATTATTGGCAAAGATCCTTTAATGGAAAAAATATTACCTCAAAACAATATTATGATTTGGGCGGGTTATAATGAAATTCTATAAGACTGTGGCCCCGCACCATAAAAACCATATTTGTTTATTTAACATCATATAAAACCAGCTATACCAAGAGATCACTTGCGACCAGTATGACTGATGGAACTGTGAAACGAACATAACTTCAAATTAGTAATAGTGTTTTTTTTTTTATAAAGGTGAGGTGGCAAAATCGTCGATATAAAGAACATATATTATATGCAATAGCTCCCCGATCGGACAGCAACACACAATGATTGACACAATCAGCGGACAGACTTGTACAATAATAGTAACAACTAATAAGTAATAACCGTCCACGATCCGTCGATAATAATTCTTTTCGGTGTTGTTATTACTATTCTATTATAAATATAATTTGTATCCGACACGATTCGGTTCGCACGATTTCCCTCCGGTGGAATTCCAATCCGGTGGTGCTATAATTCCTTGGGGGCATTGCAGAGGATTTCAGGAAACAAAAACTACTAGGTTCCCTTTGTATTATGCGTATGTGCGTACCAGACACAAGTAGTAGCAGTGGCGGCGCACACGTGGACAAAGAATTCCTGTACAAGAAAATCACGATGGCAAAACATCTGGAAAAAGGTGTCCCATTCTATTATATTATTCTTATATATTGTGCGCATCGAATGCACAAAATCCCTGACTACCATTTCTTTGGCGCACAGGCCGAGTAGTGAACTCACTCTTTGTGTGAAGGACAAAATATTTTAAGGGCCTCGACCAAATGTCTTTTGTGCCCGGCCGGAGTGTACGAAATTCGATTTCCAACGGTCACCCGACCATAGTTTGTGCACACAATTGAATACACTCGTGGTTGTAGCCCACAGAAACGGACTGGAAGCTATAACAACTAACAAGAGACTACATTCTTTCATATGGCCACATGCTTAATATTATAATTTATCATAACCTCCAACGAGCTAGCCCACTGCAGATCTTCTTCTACGCCATATCCTACACGAACGAGTGATCTAACCTTGCGTTCACCCTCCAACCCCTGCTATCGTAATGGAATTAGTCATTTGAGAAACAACATAATACAAGTGAAGGGTTTTGACAAAATGAGATTTTGGCGGAATTTGATTCTCCTCGGGTGTGAACTACTTTAGTAACTGTTCCCATTCGTATGCACTTAAATCGTGTTACAACAAAACGTCCAATAATAGTAATAATATCAATTGCTCTGATATATTAGTCGTCGTTTTTCACTTGACTCAAAGGCACAGTAAAAGCAAAAATAACAAGCATGTCGATACTGGAGGTCAGGGTCCGAGCAAGCGTGCGCTTGAACGTTATCATGTAATGATTACACTAGGCGAATGAAAAAACAATTAGTTTAATCGGAAACCAGCGGTTTTTTTTTTGCCTTTTAATATTTTGTTATGCGAGTAACCTGAACAGCAACAGCTCCTCCTCTTTGAACAATTTACAATACACCGGTCCATATGATATACAGTAGGTTTTATATTTTACAAGCAGGATGATGCTGGCGAAGTTCGCACAAACTGCAAACACAATAATTACAGCCTATACATAGAATAACCTCACGTGAACTCTTTAGTGAGCGGGTACCCGTAATAACAACAATAATAATTGTGATACTCTTACCGCCGGTCCATATGAATAATTGCTATCAACGTGTGGAGAGCAAAAAACAAAAAAAAATTGTAATAATAATATATAATGATAACAAACCGCGTGCATTCGAATGAGACACGGTCGTGACGGTCGATCCGAATACAACACACTGGCGACACGGTCGAATTTGGGCAATAACTCGGATTCCTTTACAAAAGGGCAACGCGACCGGTTGTGTGTAAAACATTTTCCGGGCCCAAACGACAGAAGCCCATTTTATTAATTGCCGATATTTCCAAGTACAATAATAGGTAAGTGTAATAATAATAATAATATTATGTGCACGCGCTGTGTTAATAATCTACCTCGGACGGACGTGACATAAACGCAGACCAACAGCTATGACGGGTAATATCCGATGTGGTGTGCAAGTGTATGTATTATCCCAGCGGACGTTTTGAAAAAACAAAAGCGATTTTTTATTTTTTATTTTACAAACTGTACGCGAAAAAAACAATAATAAAACCACACGCGCGCACTTCGGGTAATTTCAGGCGAGACGACCGGCAAACGCGTCCTGTCGGTCGGGCGGCCGGCGGTACGTATGAGAGAGAGATCGGAATTCCGTCGGTTGTTCGCACACACTCACAAAACTACTACTCACAACACATGCTTAGTCGGCGGCGGCGGCCGAACACGAAGTCGGCGGTAGTTTCGTGTGCCTTTCGGTGTACACTGTCGGGCCTCATACATGCACGTATGTCGTTGTATTATACTACACGGCCGCCGTTGCAGTTGTAGCGTTGTGTTGTATACATATAGTAGGTAGACGTGTAGGTATACTGGCCATAATACGGGCTTTGTGTAGTGCTGTGTGGTAAAAAAAAAAAAAAAAACTAGGAAGGGGGTGGGGGCAAGGCGGCGAGAGTAGAGGGAGAACGGACGCAAAACCGACCGGCAATAACAACAACAATAATAACACACACACACGGGTTAACGGACGTGGCGTGTTCACCCAGAGGCCGCGCGAGCAACAGGTGTGAGACCCAATCGGAAAAACGGAAAACCTATTTGTGAAAAATTCAATAGCCGTATATTGTAATACATGCATGTATACACGTGGCTAATAGCCTCGTGCACACTGTGTACAAATGTCGGTGGAAGCCAGAGATTAGCGGGTTTCGATTTACACATGCATAACATGTCGTGTCGGGTACCTACTGTACACACAATATTATTATAGTGTTATACGTATTCACGCGTCGTTTCTGTACAATTTTAAGGAAACGTACACCTGCGCAAACCGTTGCCGTCATTATCTATTTACATGACCCACAGCAAAAGTGTCAGAATTGTCCCCGTTTTTTAGGTTCATCGAGATCGAAATTTCCCGATCTATACACTATGGTCTAGCTTACACGGCGTTTGGACCCTTAACGACGAGTCCGTACATTTAAATTGATAAATATTTTATTTTTCTCCAGTAAATTGTACGTTTTGTGACTAAATACACTTTTGCTCTGGGCTACAGGGCATATAGTTCACCTAGTGACCTCATTTTGTGTTGCTACACTTCATTCACAATAGCAAATAATAATAATTAAATATCAAAAATGGAAATTTGACTTTGTCATCGATAAAAAATGTTTGATTTTTTTAATAAATATGTGTAAAAGAATCCTAGAAAAAATTAATTTTACATTTTGTAATATTATGAAAAATAAAACAGGCTTAAGAATCAATTACACATAACATAAAATTGTTTAAGAGTATAACTTAAAACATAACCCAAGAAAATATCGTGTGAATACATTTTAATATATTTTTTGAACTCTTGCGGTTACTTTAAAAATTATGTTTATTGGAATAAATCCCAGAATACTTAACTTCGATACTCAATACACAAAATTAAATACACACAAAATCTGCCAATCCGATAAGGAAAATATTATTATTATACTATCCACTTCATTCTCATTCCTAACGTTGTGCTAGAATATTTGTATACTAGCACTTCGTTATAATTTACATACTAAAATAGAATCGGAATTGGCAAGAGTTTTACGTTTACTGGTCTGTTAGAAAATAACTAAATAACTTTTTAATTACACATTTTTATCTAAGCGAAGCTCATACACAAGTTTATCATGTTTTACTTTAAAACCAGCTATAACGTGGCCAAACTATTACAATTTGTAACCTCCTGACAGACAGCATCATTTAAATTTGAGATATTTATACATTTTTTATTATACTGCAAAACGACGATCGGATAAAATGAAAAATACCCTAATGTATAATGCGTTCAATATATGATTTATAACGAGTTTATGAAACATTTTAATTTTTTTAAATATCATTCAATATAGCGTTATAAACATGTTTTTTAAAAAATAAAATAAGAAAAAAGTGTTGTGACGGTACATTTAATAAATTCTACAATAATATGTATAACTATTCTTATTAACCACTAAAAAAAAAGTTTCTCCGTAATGTTACATTTTATGTTTATTAGCTATTATTATTGAAAATGTATTTATTATTAAATTACTGGAAGATAGCCCAATGGTAAACGACTACAATGATATTATTCTAATAATTGTAGATAATAAAATATCATTGACAATAGAATAAATACTCGTACATTTTTAAAATATTTATTATTATTTACAGTCATATGCTGCGAGTCCAAGCGGAATTGCGTGTTTTAGGTTTTTTTAAATGAAGAATCAAGAATTAAAATATTACTTCATTAGCCCGATTGATTTCTGTGATAATTATTTATACTCAAACTCTTAAAGCCACGTGCCGACTTTATAAAAAGTAATAATTAATACAGTAATAATGAAAAAAAAAAATTTAATTAAATTGATAAGTAATACTAAGTTGTGTATCGGAGTTTCAAAAACAAATAAAATACAAATCAATATCCATAATATATGCTTAAAAAAATATATAATAATACCATATAAACAAGAATATTTCGTTAATTTTCGTTAAAGAAAAAATCAGCAATTAAAGAGAAGTGATCGGAAGGGTAGACAAACGAGGGAGTTCTGTCTTCGTGAACATTTTCTTCTTTTGGCATGGCCAATATGCTTCTAATAGTTAGGTATTCTGGAGTGTAAAATATGTAATCAAGAGTTTCTTTACATTCACCTTCACGCTGCCTTATCTTCCATGACGTAAAATCTGGCTCTCCACCGGGTTCATTGTATGCGCTATTCAATTTGAATTCAGGATAACTGCACATAGTTTCATATACGGGTTCATAAGGTTCAGCGTTGAAATCGCCAGTTATAATAGTGGGACAGTTTTTAGCATGTTCAGATACAAAACTCAACAGATCTTTGCCTTGATTGTTTCTTAAACATGCCTCCTTTTCACCTTTTTGTGATTTGAGATGAGCGGTGGCAACACAGAACCTGTTTCCCGAAACTTTATCTATTAGTACGACTAATAACGCCACCTGTCGACTAGGACACTCTTCAGTTGATAAATGATAAAAGTCGTATTCGAATTTTTCGTGGAACTCATACTTGTTATTATTGTAAAATATTGCACACCCATCTGGTCCATTATTATCAGGCATTGCAATAGCAGGCGAACGCGGTTTGGGTTGAAATATACCAGTATATGACTGCGTGGCTAAAGCTCTATTAAAGAAATCAAAATGATCGACTTCTTGTAAGCACATAACATCGGGTTCATGTGTCAACATTTCCTCGAGTAGTGAACACCGCCGGTTATTCCATTCCAACGCTTCAAGAGGGCACCGACAAAAGTTATCCATATTTTGGCCTAAGGCTTGCGATAGAATATTCCATTGTAACACCCTTACTGTATTTTTAGTCGAGTTTCTCGAAAGATCCCAATCAACGTATTCTCTTCGGATGCCATGCCTTCCAACATTGCCATGTTCGTTGATATCATAACAATAATTCAACAACGAATCTTTACTGTTCATTTCAGGTGTGAATTCCAAATTTGAATCTTGTCGATCTAGTCCGGGGACTGCGATGAAAAATTAAGTATTAACTAATCATAATATCATCTATATACATATTATGTATATTAGGTTATCCCTTATTTTGGATTTTTTCGAAATGTTATGCTCCCAAGGTCTCAAATTACTCTGCTGGGTAAAGTAAAAAAGGTCCCAAAAGTTTTACTGCTCTAACTCAATATTTACCCATGCCTGTAAGACGGCTGTTATTTCCCATTTAAATGACACGGGTTTATCACGCTTTTTTAAAATACTTTTGCGCGCATTACTCTACTGCAGTCCACCTCCCGTCATATACATTAAAAACAATTATCCAAAATTGGTCATCAAAAACGTTTAAAAACAAAAAATTGAAAATAAAAACGATTTGAATAACTAATAATAATATTTTTTTAATTTCAAAGTCCAAAATAAGGATAATTAATACAATGTAATTAGATCAATATAATACCTGGCCGAAGTGTTCCTTGAGCAATGATCAGTTTTGCAATAATAATAAACACAATTTCTTGTAAAATCATTATTAGTGGTGGGTAAATGAAATATTGTTAAAAAATATAAATCGTTGCGACAGTTAGTATCTATTATATTTCATGTGCGAACGATAGCCGGTGATATGTATGTATATGAATGTTGCTGTAAGCTTCTTTCTTCCTATATTGACTTCTTCAAAGTTAGAGTTTATTTAGACCTACGTGTTTATTCTATGCCGATATTATTCTAAATGACACATCTTTATTTTGTATATTTTACACAGTTGCGTTGTTTGTGTATATATTACACACTATATTGTTGTAATTAAAATACAGTGTGCATCTATTCAAGTAGTATCTCTTGATTGTTAGATGAAAAAATTGTTTTTTTCCTTGCGTTTTCTTCATATCAAGATATTCTTTAGGACTTTTTTTTTGTCGGTTATTCGGTAAAAATAATTACCTTTGAAAAGTGTATAACACTTATTTAAGTAGGTATCGCTAAGAAATCGATTACAATTTTCTCCTAAAACTAATACTATTATTTAATTATTATATTTGATTAGAGAGCTATTTTGGCTCAAACTCTTTAGTTTTTAGTAAGTTACATATTAATAATAATAATAATAATAATAATTTATTTATTTACGGAAATAAATTCCAATTACAAAAATATTGTGTAATGACAGTTTGTGTTAAGTGTAAGTGTATTATGGGTTACAAGTAATGTGAATATATAAATAAGATAAAACAAAAGAAAAAAAAAAGTATATATATATATACAAATATTAAATAGCTATTTAGGTATTTAAACTTAAAGATAATATATAATAATAACATGATACAAATAAAACAGTTATATTGTGAGTATAGTAGATTATAAATGTGGGTAGAGGAAATAGAAGAGAAAAAAATATGATAACAAAAAGCAGAGAAATAAAAGATTAGTAGATCAAGTATTAGACAAATTAAATAAGGTAGTATTGAATAAATCTAAGTCTTTATTTGAATTCCCTGCAGACATAAGTATATTTGCAGGGGTATATAGCATATCGTTTGAGGAGGTAGAGGAAAGATAAAAAGTAGAATTATTTCTGGAATTAGATTGGTTTACTCTAAAATTTAAACGTTCGATTATTTCGGGGCAGTCCATATTATTGTGTAATAGTTTGTATAAAAATGTACAGTTTAAGATATTAAATATTTTATTTAGGGACATTATTCTAAAGAGATTACAAGCAGTATCATACCCAGTATGAGGAGTTCTTTTATAATGATATTTATATGATAGGTATCTTAAGAAATTATTCTGGACAGTAGATAGACTATGGTTTTGGATAATATTATTAGTGCGCCAAATTAAAGAGGCGTAGTCAAAGTTAGAACGAACTAGCGTAAAGTACAGGATATTTAGGGCTGATTCATCGTAAAAATCCTTACACATACGTTTTATTAAGCCAAGTTTCTTGTAGGATTTGTTTCTTATATAATTAACATGAAATTTGAATGAAAGTTTTGTGTCGAAAAAAACACCTAGGTCTTTAATTACATTATTACGTGTTAAATTGGAATTATTTAATTTGTAATCAAAAAGTAATGTATTTTTTTTTTTAAAGAAAATGAGATTACAGCACATTTATCAATATTCAAAGACATATAATTTTCAACACACCATTGATAAAGTCATATTGCAGTTGTAATGCATCATTAGTACATTTAATATTCTTGTAGATTTTTGTGTCATCCGCAAGTAAAAGACAATTTGAATGTCTTAAAATTTTATTAATGTCATTTATGAATATTGAGAATAGTAAGGGTGATAAGTGATCACCCTGAGGAACGCCGGATAAGATATTAATTTGGTCTGAAATATAATTTTCATATTTTACGGCTTGAGTGCGGCACTAAAGTTGATATTATTATTTTAGGTACGTTAAATTAGAAATAAATAAATAACCATACATTTTGAATAAATGAAATGGAAAACCCTGATCTAATTTATTGTACCTTATAGGCTCATATTGTCTAGGAAACCATGGTGCTTTTTACCCTGTAGAAATATTTCTGATACACATGTAACGTGAAAAATAACTAAAATAGTTGATATTTGGTTAACGAACAACTTACCAGACGTTTAAAAAGATATAGTATATATAGTCGTAATATAGTAGTAATATAGTAAACCCATTTTTTTGCCCACAAAATATTAAGTAAATTTAAGTAACTTAAAAATTGAAAATTAGATAAACATCGTATTTGTTTATAAATGTCGTTCATAAAAACAATTAACAACTATTATTGTAATAACTAATATATAATAAGAGTCCTATTATAATAATATTCTGAGAACAGTTAAAAATTCAGGTAAAGGTCTTTAAACTGCAGGTATAATATTACATAAAACGAAAAAACCCCAAGGTAAAGGGGGGGGGATAGGTGAATTTATGTTGGAGACTATTTTCGGAAATATCAAATTGATATTTTTTGTAGCTTTCAACTCGATTGAAAATTGAAAGAACGTCAATTTTTTTAAGGTCTTATGGGTGAAGAAATTATTAATTTTTTAGCTTTTGTCCTCTTTTAGTATCAATCGCATTATTTTTTTCATCGATTGAGAGTAGAAATACTCCTCAAAGAAATAAGATCATATATAATTTTATATAGGCGAAGCTCATACGCAACTCTATCACGTTTTACTTTAAAACTAGTTATAACGTGGCCAAGCTATTACAACTTCTAACCTCCTAACAGACAGCATCATTTAAATCTGAGATATTTATAGCTGTTTTTATTACACAGCAAAACGACGATCGCATAAAATAAAAAATACCCTAATGTATAATGCGCCCAATATATTGTTTGTAACGAGTTTATGAAACATTGTTTTTTTAATTTTCATTCAATATAGCGATATAAACATGTTATTTAAATATAAAACAAGAAACAAGTGTTGTGTCGGTACATTTATTAAATTCTAGAATAATATGTATAACTGTTATTATTGCAATCGACATTTTCTTAATAACTACTAAAAAATAGATTCTCTATAATATTACATTTTATGTTTATTAGTTATAATTATTAAATTACTGGCAGATAGCCCAATGGTAAACGATTACAATGATATTATTTATAAATTACGAAATAGAGTAAAAGCAGTCACAATATTTAGGATGTTGGATTGTGTTAAAAAAAAAATAATTTGTATCAAAGAGTTAATACTGTGATTTATACATAAAATGTGTGATAATTAAAGCCTGATGACCACACAAAAATATTATAGTAACACTAAGTTGTGTATCGGAGTTTCAAAAACAAATAAAATACAAATCAATATCCATAATATATGCTTAAAAAATATATAATAATACCATATAAACAAGACTATTTCTTTAAGTTTCGTTAAAGAAAAAATCAGCAATTAAAGAGAAGTGATCGGAAGGGTACAATAAAGAGGGAGTTCTGTCTTTGTGAACATTTTCTTCTTTTGGCATGGCCAATATGCTTCTAATAGTTAGGTATTCTGGAGTGTAAAATATGTAATCAAGAGTTTCTTTACAATCGCCTTCACGCTGCCTTATCTTCCATGACGTAAATTTTGGCTCTTCACCGGGTTCTTTGTATGCGCTATTCAATTTGAATTCAGGATAACTGCACATAGTTTCATATACGGGTTCATAAGGTGCAGCGTTGAAATCGCCAGTTATAATAGTGGGACAGTTTTTAGCATGTTCAGATACAAAACTCAACAGATCTTTGCCTTGATTGTTTCTTAAACATGCCTCCTTTCCACCTTTACGTGATTTGAGATGAGCGGTGGCAACACAGAACTTGTTTCCCGAAACTTTATCTATTAGTACGACTAATAACGCCACCTGTGCACTACGACAATTACTAGTTGATAAATGATAAAAATTATGTTCAAATTTTTCGTGGAACTCATACTTGTTATTATTGTAAAATATTGCACACCCATCTGGTCCATTATTATCAGGCATTGCAATAGCAGGCGAACGCGGTTTGGGTTGAAATATACCAGTATATGACTGCGTGGCTAAAGCTCTATTAAAGAAATCAAAATGATCGACTTCTTGTAAGCACATAACATCGGGTTCATGTGTCAACATTTCCTCGAGTAGTGCACATCGCCGGTTATTCCATTCCAACGCTTCAAGCGGACACCGATAAAAGTTATCCATATTTTGGCCTAAGGCTTGTGATAGAATATTCCATTGTAACACTCTTACATTTTTTTTGGTTGACTTTCTCGAATGATCCCAATTAATGGTCTGTCTTTTTATGCCAATTATATTAACTTGTTCGCTGTTATCATAACAATAATTCAACAACAATTCTTTACTGTTCATTTCAGGTGTGAATACCAAAGTTTTATCTTGTCGATCTGGTCCAATAAACAGGCATTAACTATATATTATGTATATTAGGTTATCCATTATTTTGGATTTTTTCGAAATGTTATGCCCCCAAGATGTCAAATTACTCTGTTGGGTAAAATAAAAAAGGTCCTAAAAGTTTCCCATTTATATGACACGGGACTATCGAGACTTTTTAAAAATATTTTTCGAATAATTATTTTTGTAATTGTTCGAATAATATTTTATGCGACTTGTTCCAAACATATTATTCGAATAATTTCAAATTTAATTATTTGAATAAAATATTATTCGAATAATTTTTAATAGTTTGTTCATTTTTCAAGTATTATTTTTAAATATTATTTTTTATAAATCAAATAAACAGGGTGTTTCACAAAGGCATGAAAAATGAAACAACTTTTGTTAAAGTGAATATTTTTTAGATTCTTATGGGATGCCTTAGCAACAAAGAAAAACCGTATCGTTTGTTGGTAATCGCATCACTTGAGAATGGCTGGACCGATTTGGCTCATATTTTTTAACCTGTTCTTAATCGTCCAAAATAAGGGAAACCTTAATGAATATAATAAAATTTGATCAATATAATACCTGGCCGAAGTGTTCCTTGAGCAATGATGATATTTGCAATAATAATAAACACAATTTCTTGTAAAATCATTATTAGTGGTGGGTAAATGATATATTGTTAAAAAATATAAATCGTTGCGACCATAAGTTAAATTATATTTCATGTGCGAACGCTACCCAGTGATATCTACGAATGTTGCTGTAAGCTTATTTCTTTGTATATGACTTCTTTAAAATTCTGTTTTATTTAGACCTACGTGTTTT